AGATCTCCCTGTTTCCTGTCGTCTATCTTTTATTTTGCTCTTTATTTATATTTTGCATTTCTCATATAAGAAAGATCATGTGATACTTAGTTTGTGCATCTGATTTATTTCATATAACATTATGATCAAAGTTTTCATAGTTAATGTTATAAAAGAGAAGATAAGCCTTTTCTTAAAACAGAAATGTTATACTAGAATTTTGCTTGAATTTTAAAATCTATAATACATTTTCAAAAATATTAGCAATATGTCTAATATTGTCAGTTGTATTTCTTTTAGTTTACAGAGAAACAAATCACAGATGACAAAAGAGATGTCTCCTTGGAAATCATCTTTTCAGTATGATTGAACACACAATCAAGGTCTTATAAATCCATATCCAATAATTTGAGATTTTATGTGTACATGATTTTCTAAAATTTTAGTGTAATCCAAATATCTATAAATAAAATCCTTTATTGTGGAAAAGATAAAAAAAGTCATTAATTTTGTACCCTATTAATTTACCTATTATTGTTTCTAAATTTACCTTTTTCTTTTATTCAAATTTTCAACTAATTCTTTTTAATTCTTCTATTTTTATATGTGAGGCTTATATAAGATTCACAATACGTATGGATTAGTTAATCATTTGCAGTGACAAGACTGACATACATGGATCTAGCTATTTTTTCTAATAGAAAACAATGAATGGAAAATAATATTAGTGAAAATGCTTAAGTTTCAATTAAAGTTTCTTATGGAATTACAGCAAGTATTCTGCTAGAAATATTTGTCAGAGTTAACATTTTCAGCACTCCAAAAAGTAACCATGGCTGCAAGCAATCCAGAGAGAATTTATTCAAGGAAATGGCTTGAATTGCAGTAAGAAGTACTGTGAATTTTAACTGACTTAATCTCATCCTCCACTTGCAAGTAGTGTGGCAGACCAACAGTCTGTAAAAGTGCTAAAAGACACTTGCCGCACAGGAAATGGAGCTAAACAGCTGGATATTCCTTTACCAGAAAGGTTCCATCACTCACCTGTTGTTTCCCAGGAAAAGCAACCTGGTTAATCTGACTCAGAATTTACCCACTGTGAGCTGTCTCTTCCCCAAGGACATTTGTTGAAAACAACCAGAGGCAATTTTAACATCTGGATGCCTAGAGGAATGGATAAAACTCTGGGAAAATACTCGGTATCCAAAAAGCTTAAAAGGGAAGTTAGGGAACATGTGTATATATATCCATTAGGAGTTTTAAAAGCTCATATTCTTGGGAATCTAGAAAGCTTTGCACATGTGTGGGGCTCTCTAGTTCTAGAAACATAAAAAGCCATAACCTCTCATCTCTGGCAGACATCAGAGCTCTGTGCAAGCAGAAAATAATGGGAAGGTAGTTTTGCCAAATGACTGGCTGACTACTGCAGGCTTAGACCAATATGCACAGAGCTTTTCAGCAAATAATGGGACATCTACTGGTTCAAATAGCCTAAGCAAATTTCTGCCCAATCACTGACCAAGCAATAAGCTAAGAACTAACAGAGTAGAGACTTTGTTAGGACACGAGGCAGGATATAAGTATCACAAAATTCTCAGAAAAGTCACTACACAAGCAACAACAATAACAGCAACAACTAACCCTGAGTAAGACTTGGAATCTGATTTTCAGAACTGCTTCATTGTATTATTAAGATTTGCAGTTTTAAACAATGAAAGAGCAGGATGCAAATAAATAAGTATGGCCATTGTGGAGAGTAGCTGTACTTTGCTGTAAATTACTCCATGCTGAATAGAACAGAAGCTCTCTGGTTATGCTTTTCCTTGAATGACTCCATTTTACAAAAGAGCAGCTTTCTCCATTTTGAGTGCAAATGTGGAAGCAGAATGACTTAGTAACTTATCTGTACAAATAGATAACCACCAGATATTGGACACAGCAAACATATCAACAAAACTCCCAGCTGTGTACACAATCATAAGCTACAAATTAATAAATAATCTTTCTAATAAAAAATTGCTATTTGTAAACTTATCAAATTAAAACATGGAGACATGAACACAGGACCTTTTCCAATTACATCAGGAAAAAATAAAACAAGCCAGGGAGTTTATCAGGCATACCACAGACCAACAAATGAGGCAACCTCCTCACCTGGGCCATGAAAGAAAGGGACACCCAACATGGGGCTGTGGAGGTGCCACTCTCATGAGACCACCTTGTCTCATGACAGTATCATGATAGCACCATGAGGTTGACAGGCCAGGAGCCCAGGATCTGTCTCTCAGCTTCACTTCAGCTTGTCTCCCTGCTTACTGCAGCCCACTTAACCTCACTGCCTGTTCCAGACATTGAAACAACTCTGCACTCAACAACAAGCTCCATGCCTCCTCTGCCTTATTTTCAGTTCTTTCTTTCACATCCTACCGCTACTGTTAACCCTTTCTTAGCCATTGTGTAATCTATACAAGGTTGTGTGTGATGTGTGACATTAGTGCTATAGATATTAGACAGAAGTGTGGAATAAAAGAATCTATGATTTGCTGGCTCATTGGCTACTAAGTGAATTCTGGGTACTTGGCCTGACTAGGTTGACACAATTGACACAGATCATAAATGTATTGCTATTCAATAGATTGTGACATTGTGGAAAGACATAAATGTGCCTGAACTATGCTGTTGGCATAGTTCACTCATGACAGTCATATATAAGAGGCAAAAAAGCAGCCAATAAAAAATTATTCCTGGGGAAACCTAGACATTGGATTTTATACATAAAGACTTTAAATTATAAATATGTTTAAAGTATTAGTGAAAACTGTACCTAAAGAAATAATGGAAAATAGCTAAGTCTGGTGGCACATACTTATATTCCCAGCATTTGGGAGGCTAAGGAGAATCGCAAGTTCCAATCCAATCTGGGCTACATAGTGAGTTCAAGGACAGCCTTAACTACAGAGTGAGATCCTGTCTCAAAAAAAAATACATACAACAAATCAAATAAACAAAAGGAAAGTATGAGAACAATATCTGATAAAATAGAATATCAGTAAAGAAATATAAACCTTTATGACCATTGGGCTAGGTAATATTTATGTGATCTCAGAAACATTTCCAACAAAATGGTAAATTGAACAACAGGGGAATTTCTAAGACAGATTTACAAGTCAAAGGTATTCTAAATTTGAGACTGAACAAACAAGACTACTGTGTCACCCAATAAAGTAAGGAGCAGAAAGACAAGAGCTGATTCAGGAAGATAATTCAGAGTTGACTATCTGATGCTTCAACCACTGACTTTAATTCATTTTCTTCTCCATTTGTTATTGTTTAGATAATTCTCTATTGGGATAAATTCAAAACAGGAAAGAAAGGATTCTCATGTAATTCAGCTTGTTGTTTGTCAAGGACTCCAATAAAAAGTTTGAATGTCAGAATAAGAAATGCTGCTGCAATAGGTAAATACATTATCTTAGTAGTTTGTTGCTTGCTTGTATCAAATTTAATGTAATCAGTGGGCTGGAGAATGAAAGGAGTTGAAGGTGAGTTCTGCTCTGTCCAGTCATTTAAAAAAACAAGTATCTCTCATGATATGATTCTACCATCTATAACAGGAGAATTCCAATACACCCCAGTCATCTTCCTGACATAAGTGGAAAGGCATAGAACTGACAGGAAGATGGCAAATACACCTCACTTCTGTCCATACTTCAATGGAAAGAATTCAGTTATAATGTTCCAGTCAATTTTAGAGATGGATGGAAGATGTTAATTTAGCTCAATCTTTGTTAAAAAAAAAAAGCAAAGTGAATAAAGTTCTTCCAGAGTAGCTGTGGGTTCTGAATTAATACTGAACAAGACTCCCTTATTTTAAGAGCAATACCCACAAACTATTAACAACTAAAGCCCCAAATTATCACTGCAAGAAAATTATGATACAAAATGTCATAACCTGGATTTATTTAATATGAAAACTTTGCTTAAATCTTTCAAAACTAGGGTAAGCAAAATATGCATAACTTTCATTAATATTTATTTCACTAGTCTTTGCTCAAGTAAGTTGCCAAAGCAGTCTTAATTTTAATTTATAAAGCCTTCAACTACAGAAGTAATAACAACAGCAAAACAGAATGTTGTCTTAAAATTTAACAGTAAAAATTTGTTTTTTTTCTCTCTCATTGAGTTTATTGGTATATTTTAGGTATACAGTACAGTTACATTCATCATTGGGATTTTGCATCTTTACATGACAGGTCTTGGTTCTCATTTTTTTTCCCCTTATCCCTACCTCCCTTAAAAATTTGTTTCACTGTTGATTTTTCTCTGAGTTCAGAGTAAATATGGTTACTTGAATGCCATATGGATTTAAATATTGTGAATGAAAAAAACTTTTCCAACTATGACAAAAGTAGAGAAATATCAACTATCAATGCATAAGAAATAAATACTTTCTTGAGCCCCTTGCTAAATTATAATTATCTGCACAATTCATCCAAAGCATGCCTACCTATGTTGTTAAATATTCTCCCTGTTTTAGGGTTTTTAAATTACTGCCTGGGATCTTAATTTTAAAAAATAAAGAGATAATTTCATTATTCTGAACATAAAGTCAGTTATAATAGGATGATAGGACTGTGTGTTTTCTATTTCATTTTACACACATGCACACACACGCACACACACACACACCTCTTTTAAGCAGGAATAAGCCTGGCTGCTTCATGACTTCCTGTGATATCACAGAATGTCCTCTAAGGATCGAGTGGTTTTCTTTGCAAACTTGAAAAGGGAAAACCAGTATCTCACATTCTGTTTGCTCCACATTCCACAAGCTTCTGCTACAGAATCAGCATTTCCCTGCAGTCTGTGCCATGATCATGATTGCTGTCTCAGACTTCCACTGCCCTTAGATTGGTCAGAAGGAAGCAGAGGCGGAGCCACACTGCACATTTTTTTTTTCCTCCTCCACATACAAAATCAGCAGCCGGAACTCTCAGCTCCTCACACTCAAAGCACTGCTTAGGCTGAAAATTGCCACTTCTGAGACGCTTCTGAGAGGCAGACAGTGTGAGCATGTGCACACAGATTTGGCTCCCAGTGGCACAGAGGCTCCCAGGAAAATTATTTTGAATAAACCTGAACGCATACAGCTAAAGTCAAAGCAGAAGTGAGAACAAAAAGCAAACAGCAGGCTCTTTCTACTGAAAAAGCCTAAAGAAGTTTAAACTAAAGATCACAGCCGTACCTAAAAGAGACTAAAAACTCCATTTCAAGGTCTGACGCTGTGACTGTACTCACAGCAGGCACGCCAGCTACAGCCTCATAACTTTGTCAGATTAAAAACTGGGAGGAAATAACAGAGATTCCTTAACCCAGGAGATTAAATCAGTTCAAGGTGATCTGAATCCACTTGCTGCTCGATGATGAACTCCACCCACCACCACGGGATGCACACTTCATTTCACTTCTGGAACCGCAGCAGCTTCGGACTGCACAGCAATGCCAGCGAGCCCCTGGGGAAAGGCTACTCTGATGGAGGGTGCTACGAGCAACTTTTCGTCTCCCCAGAGGTGTTTGTGACTCTGGGTGTCATAAGCTTGCTGGAGAATATTCTGGTAATCGTGGCAATAGCCAAGAACAAGAATCTGCACTCCCCCATGTACTTTTTCATCTGTAGCCTGGCTGTGGCAGATATGCTGGTGAGTGTTTCGAATGGATCAGAAACCATTGTCATCACCCTGTTAAACAGTACAGATACAGACGCGCAGAGCTTCACGGTGAATATTGATAATGTCATTGACTCTGTGATCTGTAGCTCCTTGCTTGCATCAATTTGCAGCCTGCTCTCCATTGCAGTGGACAGGTATTTTACTATCTTTTATGCTCTCCAGTACCATAACATCATGACAGTTAAGAGGGTTGGGATCATCATAAGTTGTATCTGGGCAGCTTGTACAGTTTCAGGCATCCTCTTCATCATTTACTCGGATAGCAGTGCTGTCATCATCTGCCTCATCACCATGTTCTTCACCATGCTGGCTCTCATGGCCTCTCTCTATGTCCACATGTTCCTTATGGCCAGACTTCACATCAAGAGGATTGCTGTCCTCCCAGGCACTGGTACCATCCGCCAAGGTGCTAACATGAAGGGTGCAATTACCCTGACCATACTGATTGGAGTTTTTGTTGTCTGTTGGGCCCCATTCTTTCTCCATTTAATATTCTACATCTCTTGTCCCCAGAATCCATACTGTGTTTGCTTCATGTCTCACTTTAACTTGTACCTCATACTGATCATGTGTAATTCAATCATCGATCCTCTCATTTATGCACTTCGGAGTCAAGAACTGAGGAAAACCTTCAAAGAGATCATCTGTTGCTATCCTTTGGGAGGCCTCTGTGACTTGTCCAGCAGGTATTAAATGGAGTCAGAGGACACATTAAAAACTTGCAAGAGACTTTTTCATTCTTGTACAATCTAAACAGTGTACTTCAGCAATTGTCATGTCTTTTGTGCAGTGCTCTGGTTGAAAATATCTATTGTATAAATTTGTTTATGATTTTTATATAAAAAATGACCTGTCAGTATTATTTAAATGTCATGCTACTTTTCATTGTAAAATGTTAATGTGTATTATAGGTCACAGACACTTTAGAATTACAAAAAAGAGATATCTTTATTAAAAGCTTAACCATGTCTCTTCTTGTTATTCATAAGAATTTGACACTTTGTTTTTGTAATACAGAAATAGAGCTTCATTAAATATATTCTCATAAATGTTTTCCTATATTATACTACCCAATACTGAAATGTAGAGGTTTGAATCTAACATTTAAGGGGAAATATTTTAAAGAATATGTACCTGATCATTAAATAAACATTACCATGAGTGAAATTTCAAGCAACTTAATAAAAGCTTGTCCTCCTCCCTGTGTAGGAGAAATGAAGCTACTCTTGAGGGAAAACAGATATCATAAAATGATAAGTGATATTCTGTGTAAGAAAACTTTCACATTTCTCAGAGACAGAAAGGTTCATTTGTCCAAGAAAACAGTCTCATAGTGCAGTTTGGGGAGGAAACAGCAGCTTACACAAATCAAAGTCTTCTGGAAAACCGAAATTGTCTTGTGAAGCTGAACTTCTTGATGCAAAACTATCCACATCCATGAATGATAAAATAAGGAGTGAAAGCTTTCTGCCACCTTTAACTAGGGACTTAGTGTTTGCTGAAATGTCCAGTTAAGTTAGTATTCCATTCAGAGGTCCAGAATTTGATCTCAAAAAACTATACAATTGATAATCAGTTCTTTTATACTTCTTACGGAGATGATTTACTCTGTTTACTTATTGTTTATTTCTTGAACCAGAAGATAAGTGCTGACCATTAAATATTTTATCTTTCCAGATCAAATTCACAGCACAAATGTTTTCAGGCAACATTTTTAAATACCTAAATGAGGGTACCTGTGATGCTGGTACATTATGAGTGAGTACGAAATGAAGCACTGAATGACTACCAAAAGATGTCACCGTCTTCCACAGTCACATTTAGGAGACTGAATTCTCATTTTGCTCCAAAAAATCCCATATTTTTGGCCACTGAACAATAAAATCTGTGCTTTCTAGTCTGTGTGTACTATAAAATAAAGAGAATATATTGAGCTAAAGATTAGCAGAAAACTATCTTGTGATTGAATTTGTAAGTTCTTTATATGCTCCTGAGGCAGAGATCATATACAAAAGTACATCTTCATTTAGATCTAAATGGTTGGCATATTAATTATAAAACCTGAGAAACACTTATCATCCATATGGAAACATTGATTCAAAAGGCAATGGTGAAGTCATTACACTTTCAAATAAAATGTGATGCTGAAACAGAATTGTAATCTCACTGATTTGTTTATTTTAATGCAAAAATAAATGTGAGCTTCAAAATACAGACTACTATAACCCTTATAGACTGCCATAGCTTGGATCTGAGGGTGCAGAGGCCCACACAGTAAAGGTTTATACCACAGAATGACTCTACTGAGCAGTGGTGGAGCCTTGAAGAGGTGGGGTTAAGTGGAAGTCTTCAGGTCATTGAAGCTGTGTGCCCTTGAAGAGCATAATGGGACCCCAGCCCCTTTCCTTTCTGTCTGTTATTCCCTGGCCATGAGAAGAACCATGAACTTCTGCCATGATGTGCTGCCTGGCCACTGACCCAAGCAATGGAGCCAACTGATCATGAACTGAAACTTCTAAAACTATGAGCCAAATAAATCTTTTTCTCTCTATAAGTTCACTATTCAAGCATTTATCTTAGTGACAGGAAGCTCTTGACACAGTAGTACACAGATAGCGTGCTTTCTATTGTTGCTATTCCTGTTCATTCTATCACATAATGATTCTGAGAAACCCTGGACACTGAAGACACTGAAAAAAGACTTGTAAGTATGATGTGTCTCCTGTAGTGGCTGTCCTTTCAATCAATTTTATTTCTCCTTCATGTGTCACTTCATATGCTCAGTAGACAATCCCAAATTTGTATTTTTACATTAACACCTTCTTCTGGAGCATTTTATATTGTGCATTGGCTACGAACCATCACCAGACTCCCCTAGATGCTCATGGCATAATTTTAGACTTCAGCATCTTTTGATGCTAAGACTTATTCACTTGTCTGATTCTCCAAACTTTCCCAAATTGTATCATTTTCTGTTACTCCAGTAAAATATTTAACCTCCTCCAGAAGGAAAGTACTTAACCAAGTTATCCCTGACCTTCATCCCACATCCACTAAAATATGGAGCCTCTCCAGTTCTAACTGAATATTTATTAGCTTAATTGGGGTGATGCTATGGTTGAAACTCTAGGCAGAAAAAAAAATGTACATAGTATCAGGGTTGGAAAGTGTTGGAGAGAATGGAGCTGGAGGTTTGGAGGAAAGAGGTTTGAAATACACCAGATAAAGGCATCATAGGACACTGGCCACTAGAGCACATTCAGAAGAGGTGGATGCTCCAGTTAGGGAACTTTAAATATATGTTGTAGAACTGCATGAGGATTTTCACCATAAGAGAAGGGGATTATATTTCTGTTCCCTTCAGACTACATCCAATAGGAGCATGTCAGTGAGATAAGACTTACGAAGTTATCCAACCACTATGTGTTGATTCCACATTGCCTCTCAGATCCTGGCCAGTTCAATACTGCAGCCTCATTTTCCCTGCTGTTTTATTTCTATGAATTGTACTTTCCCTTTATATGTGTAAGCTCCTTTGAGAATAGGGAGTCATGTGTTTATATTTTTATTCCCATAGGACAGCATATTTGACCTAAAAGAGATACTAAAGCATATCTAACACAGATATAAATACAATATTTTTGATTTCTGAAAATGGTTTCCAAGATAGTCTCACATTGGACATCCTTGATGCCATTTCAATGGTTATGGATGAACTTCCTTCAGCAGTGACTACCTAGCTCTCATGCCCTTGTCCACTTTACTTCAGAGAAAGACAACAGGTTCCTTGAGGAAGGACCTGGGTTTGAATTAACTTACCTACACGCAAGAATATGGTTAAAAGCCACCTCTAGGCACCCTTCTAAATAGCCATGATCATTAATTATTTTGTTTTTATTTTTCTTGTTGTTGTTTATTTGTTTGTTTGTGTTAGAAAGGGTCTCACTATGTAGTTGAGACTGACTTGGAACTCACTATGTAGCCCAGGCTCATCTCGAACTCACAGAAATCCTACTGCCTCAGCCTCCCAAATACTGGGATTACAGGCGTGCACCACCATACCTGGCTGATCATTAATTATTGATATGGAATAATGTACAAATGAATAAGGAAAGGTCTGTCCCATTGTGCAGTTTTGGGTTTGTTTACTGGGGATAGAAGTCATTAGTAATTGTTTTGACAATGTCAAGCATTGATTCATCCATACTGTGTTAGGAGTTAGAGCTGTTTGAAGATAAGCACACTGGTTTGTCTAAAACTTAGTACAAATGAGAACTTCTCCCCATGGCTTGACCATGAGGGATAAACACACATGGCTATCGTGAGTAAAAAGCAAGGTACAACATTATTTCTGTGGTACTCTCACCTCCACTCCAGTGAAAAATGAATTGTAGGATGTGATCTATCCTAAAGTCCCAAAATCACCCCTCCCTCTACAAAGTCCAGGTATTGACATTTTGCCAACAGGATGAGAATTCCTGCACATGATAATTGAAAAGGCAAGAGAAAGAAAACACATGGTAAAGAGAAAAGGAAAAAAGAGAGAGGAAGTTGATTGGATCAGTTTTCCATGTCAGCCTAGTGAAAAAAATAAGTAAAAAGCCAAAGAAATAAATAATACCAAAAAACCTGCACTCATGAGCCCTTGCTTTAAACATATACTGACCCAATCCCTCTGATTGCTCAAGAATTTCTACATAAGGAGAATAAGGATGCAATATGGTTGAAGGAGTCATGGTGGATGTCTTGAAGTCTTTGCATAGCAGTCACCTTTTGCTTGGGTTGTGTGTCTTTTGAAAATTATCTTGAGGAAGATTTAAAGATCTTAGTGGAAATAATAATAAACTTGGGCACTACAAGAGTCCTAGAATATATGTCCATCAGAACAGTGCTTTGGTTTGGTGAAAAGGATCGGATTAAAAAGAGAAAGGAACATGACAAAGAGTACTGTCTTCTACAAATTTTTGTCATTCCATTAACCAGGCATTATTCTAACATTTTTTTTTATCTTGTAGTATATCATGTTCCCTACTTCTCTCACTAACCTAAAAACCAATGTTATTATACCTGGATGCAGTCTCTGTTAATGCCTCTTAGTTGAATTCTTTTATTGTGTGTGTGTTTGTGTGGTTTTCATTCAATTTGTTCTGTTGTGATATAAAAATACCAAAAGAGAAAAACAATTTTTTAAACCCTACACATTCATATTCATTGGGTTCATTAGACCAATGGTTTGGTTCAAGTAGATAAAAATGTGAGCATGTTCTATTGCATTTGGTCGAGATTGTCCAGCTTCACAGAACCTTACTGGAAATAAGATACTTCTAATGCAAATAAAAGGAAGCTACAAGGACTTGACATTTACTGTAAAATTTTTTGCAGCATATATATCAAAGCCCCTAAACTCATCATATATCTATATTACGGCATCAGAAAAGGAATGAATAGATAAAGAAAATTAGTTTAAATTAGTCAAGCTACAGTACAAAAATATGTGTCCTTGAAATAGTCCTGAAGAAGGGAAATAAATATCTGCAAAAAAACCTGACAAGAATTCCATTACAGAATTTGAATGGTCTTTCACAAGGGTCTGCTATAAATTTTCATCTATCAAATTTAAAAATTGTTGTTAAAAATGAAATGAAAATATTCAAACTTGTTGAGGAGGCAGCAAAATAGGTGAAATGGGTTGTATCTTTTTTTATGTGCAAGTGTAAATAGATACAATTATTTTCAAGGACACTAAAATGTGTATCACAAATTTTAAAAATGTCCATCCTTTGATTACTGCATTGTGATCTGTTGTAAAAGAGACTGTTAGATTAACAAGTTATCACCTGTTGAAGAGCCCACATCAC